TATAAATCAAATTTAAGTTCACAAATCATCACAGGGTATATCTCATAGGGGGATCTACCGTATGGCACTTTACGGTACTTGCGAACCCTAATTTACTAATCCTAACCCGGAGCCCAATGGAGCTGCGAATGGAACAAATGAAGTTCTGAATGGATCCAATGGATACTAGCTTTTTGAGTTCCAAGCGAATAACCGTCGAGTTCCATTGGCTCCATTAGCTCCATTGTCAACCCTGAGAGCATGAAATGCTACTTCGAAATATTACTGTATCGGTATTAGGTTTGTGGAATGTAAGAGACTCCGGGTCCATTGACCGGTAATTGACATATAACATATCGGGTTATATTGTGATTTATGGATCTATAACGATAGATACGAATCGAAAATCGAAAACTTTAGAAAAAAAGTTTTTTAACCAATTAAATTAAGACACTGAATCATGTGATTGTAAATTAACCAATCAAATTTATTAACTAATTTACGAATGTTGATCGAACTACCAATACAGCAATAATCGATTAGACTAATAGTTGATTACTAATTGATTTGTTAAAATCCCGTGACAAATATAAATACTACGGCAGACCATAACTTTATTTAGTCAAAATTTAATTTCCAAATGTCATCGATTAGAGCGGCAGCTACTTTATCAAGAAGATCTCGTCTCTCGAAGGCAGCAATGACTTTGGTGAGTAGCGTTTCTTATTTTGTTATACTATTTTTAAAGGCTTTTAAAACCTTTGACAAAGAGAATTTACCTTTTTTTTAACAAAGACTCCGGCGGCGGTAAATAAGCTCCGTCAATTTGTTGAAGGGCCTGAGCCAAAATTGATTCGTGTGGCTGTTAAAAACAAGGGTTGTGCTGGACTATCATATGTCCTGGAATACGCTAAAGAGAAAGGGAGGTTTGACGAAGTAATCACGCAAGACGGTAAATTTTTCATTTATATATGCTATTAAATTTACTATATAGTGTGAGCGGTGAAACTTCGCTCAATATCACTTTTAAGAATGTATTAATTAATTTGAATATATTGCTATTAATAGGTGTTACTGTTCTGATCGAATCAAAATCCCTGTTCAAAATGCTTGGTTCTGAAATGGACTACGTAGAAGACAAAATATCATCTAAATTCGTATTTAACAATCCAAACGTTAAAGAAAGTTGTGGTTGTGGAGAAAGCTTTACGATATAGGTCTGTGATAGAAATTTTATATCACAAATTAAAAGTTTTTTAATTGATTTTTATTGTATTTGCTATTCTATTCATAGCTAGGATTATATTATTTTTTATATGAATAGAATTTCACTTTTTATACTACTGGTAGTACATTTGCTAAAATATATTTTAATGCAAAAATCTAATAAATATTTTAATTTAATTTAGTAATTTTTTTTAATATTAAGAAAAATTTATTTAAAATTTTTAATTTTAGTAATTTTTATTATTATTGATAGTATAGATATCATCAAAATTGGGTTTTGAAAAGTCTATTTTGTTTTCATTAGAGTAAATTAAAATTTTTTATATGAAAAAGCAAATCTAAATTATATATATATTTATAAGAATTTTACTAACTATAACTAGTAGTGATCATTACTAATATATAATTAGCCAATAAATTTGCAGAATCAGGTGTAATATGTAAATTAGTTTGTATAACAAAAATATTTTTCAAAAAATGCTAATATTTCAAGAATTTGTTTTTTTTTTTTTTTTTTTTAATCTTCAAAGGATTTTAAGAATTTGTTTATAAAACTATTTTCAACATTTTAATAAAAAAAATTTTTGTTAAATTTTATATATATTTAATACTTTATTAAAACCTCAGGTTTTGTCTTAATCTTAAAGTAAATGAAATAAAATGTTTTTTTCTTGTTTTAGTGTTGTGGTTTCGTAATACTAACTAGTTCATCTTTTTAGCTTCTTTTCAGTGCCGGTGTGATTCACTGCACTGTTGGTACGTTGAATTGGACTTGGGTTAAGTATTCTTTTTCTTTTTTTTTGCTTTTAATGTTGTGTTTTGCAGTACTAATTAGCTCTTTTTTTCAGGTGCAGATGTTATTAAGTTATTGGAATATGTTCGTTATTTGTTCCGAATATTTGTCATGCAATATATGTCGTTGTGTTCGTCATTTAACATCGTGCTGTTGATTTACTGCATCTTTTGTATGTCGAATTGGACTTTGAAGCTAAGTATTCGTTTTTTTTTTTTTTTTTTTTAGTATTGTGTTCTAGAAGTACTAACAAACTTTTCTTTTTAGGTGACAGATGTTGTTCAGATAGTTATTGGAATGGTTTGTTGGTGCTAAATATTTGTCGTGTCGTGCAGGTGATTTACTGTATTGTTGGTACATTAAATTAGACTTTGGAGCTAAGTATTCTTTTGTTTTTTTTTTTTGTATTGTGTTATAGAAGTACTAACTAGCTCTTTTTGTCAGATAATGGCTGTTATCCGGATAGGTTACTGAGATATGTTTGTTGAGCAACAAGTTTTTGGTGTTTTGTTCGTTGTGCTGGTGTAGTTCATTGTGCCAGTGTAGTTTATTATGCCGTGAAGTTGTTTTACTTTCATGTTGATTTGTTGTTTTCGCAAATTCATAGTTGAGATTTGTTGTTTTGAATTAGTTTTAGGTTAGAGTTAGAATTTAGGTTGAATTATATTAGACTGAGAGGCT